TCATATATGGATAATTTAATGTACCATAGTTTGTCGCCATTCCACAGGCATGCTCAATTTGAAAGTATTACATGCTAGATATCTATTTACTTGGCATAACATCATGTTTTATGTTTGATCAAAATAGGGTATTCTATTGTGTTTGTGTGTGCCAAAATTCATTAAAGTATAATTATTCCTGAACATTTACATTTCATAAACTGCTGCTCAAATATCAGGTCACATAAAAAATAGCAACACTCATCTTCTATTCTCCATGGCCTTTGCTTTCAGAAAATATATATTGTTTGGGCATTCTATGAATTATTTAGCAAAAAATGCAGATTCATATATATATATATGAGAGAAATGTCAGAATTGGACCGGATGGCAAGTGGTTACAGGCTGTCTTTACTCTTGCCGGCCCAGCTCTGCAACCAGCTGATTTCTGTTTACATGCGCAGAATCCTGTGTCTAAAGGCCTGGTCAGCTGAAGCTGCCTGTAAGATGCCTCACACCTATTGTATGTCCTCTGAAGAAGGACTCTACTTTAGTGCAGCACTTTGCAAATTCACCAAAGATGTCACAAGAGGAAAAGTCCTTCTTCCACAGCAGAAGGTTCCAAAATTCCATTCTTCTGGTTCTTTCTCCTCAAAAGACAATACACCTCAACTCTCTACCCAGGCTTCAACTGCTAAGGCAAAGTTCAGCCCTTCATTTTTGGCACAAGACTTGGAACACAAAGTCCTCTTCCCAATGAATGGTGGGACGTCTGTTACAGTTTGCCTTTCTCTGGGTCACAGATGTCTCAGACCTGTAATCCAATTGGTGTTTTCAAAGGGGTACAAACTCTTCCCCTTCACAGCTTTCTTCTCTCATACCAACCACAATCTGCTCAAGGACAGTCAGATTTGCAGAATGCTCTGAACCATCTTTTGTCCCAGGTAGTCGTTACAGTACGTCTTGAGGACAGGTTCTATGCACTCTGTTCATACCTCAATGGGGTATTCATCCTCTCCTAAAATCTCTAAATAAGTACCTCCCAGTTCCAAAATTCTTTTTGGTAACTGCAATGTCAGTTATTGACTCTCTGAGACAAGGGGAATACATGGCATCTGTAGACATGCAAGATGCCTCTCTACATATTCCTATTTAGACACTTTGTCACTGCTTTCTGTGCTTCGCAGTAAGAGATAAACATTTCCAGTTTGTTGCACTGCCATTTGGCTTATTCTCTGCTTCCAGAGTATGCACAAAGGTACTTGTGCCGCTTCTTGCCCTTTTTAAGAACCCAAAGCATTCAGGTCACAGGGTATCAAGACTACCTTCTTCTAAAGGCGCCTCTCTTCCAGCTATCTGAAAATTCCCACTGGACTATTCAGATACTTGAGGCAGTCAGCTTCCAAAGGTCCACTCTCCATCCTTTCCTACACCTGCAGTACATGGGTAACATGAGCAAAAGTCTTTATTCCACAAAACAAACTGGTGTCTCAAATCTCAAGCTCGGGCCTTGAGATCAAAGAAGCATACCTCTGAGATCCTGTATAAGTGTTCTGGGCTTCATAGTGGCCTCTTTCAAGTCTTTTCCATTCACTCAAAATTTATTTAAGACCTCTTCAACACAAGATTTTCTTGGCATCGAACAAACATGCTGATTCTCTTGACCTGCTTTTGCCCCTCTCCAGCCAAGTAAGGAACTCCCTAGCTTGGTGAGTTTCCAACCCAGCTATGATAATACCATACCATACCACTGGAAGGTGATAACAGATCCCATACTCTCAGGATGGGGAGGAGTGTTCCAATTTCTCACAGCTCAAGGCACAAGGTCTTCAGAAGAAGCTAAGCTCCCCATCAACATTTTGAGGCTCAGAGTGATCAAAATGGTTCTACACTACTACTTCTTCTTCAGTGATAACTGATCAGGGGTGCAGTCAGACAATGCCACAGTTGTGGCCTACATCAATCACCAATGGTGCACTAGGAGTCATGCAGCCTTGAAAGAAGCAAACCTGATCTTCTCATGGATGGAAAAACTGTCCAGTGATCTCTGCTGTCCACATCCTAGCAGTGGACAGTTGGAATGCACATTACCTCAGTTGTCACCACCTGGATCAAGGGGAATAGGCCCTTCACCCTGACATATTCAGCCTACTACTGTTTTTCAGAGATGGGAGACTCCATACAACATCCTGGCCTCCAGATTCAACAACAAACAACTCCTGCATGTGGCCAGAATCAAGGATTCTCTAGCTCTGCCATCTGAGAATCTGATAATTCCCTGGACTCAGTTCAGGCTAATTTATGCTTTTACAAAAAATTAGCAAGCACCCCAATCTTTAACTAACCTTTTGAAGCAAGGTGCACATGGAAAGGCAATGTACATCACAAACAAAGGATCTCCCAGCACACTTACCAACCAGCCTGCAAAATAATCAAAGTGGCTCTAACAGTTTTTATTAAAAACAATGGATTTTGTTTGCACACATTTGCACATTTATGCGTAAGCTGCAGTGCCCTTTTCAAGGGACATCTGTATATACCGCAAGCCTAACTTTAAATTATCATAGCCTCCTATAGTAGGAGCATATATAAGAATGGATAGCTTAAGGGCAGGTATGCCTGGAGGGAGCCCACCCCTCCTTAAAGGCATAGGGACGCATGTGACACCCAGCAAAAGCACAGGCGTCCAGTTCGTCCCTTCACCCAATTCGTTCAACTGTAAAATAAATTGGCAACCACCCCAACCTGTACCTGGCCTTTGCAGCAAGATTCACAAGGAAAGGTCAATGCACATCACAAACAAAGGATTTTCCAGCACACTTACCAACCAGCCTGCAAAACAACCAAAGCGGCTCTAACAGTTTGCGGTAAAAGCAGAGGGTTTAGTTTGCACACATTTGCAAATATATGCGTAAGCCGCAGTGCCCACATCAAGTGATCTCTGTAAATACTGCAGTCCAAACTCTAAATTTCCAGAGCCTCCATAGTAAGAGCACATATACGAATGGACAGATAAAGAGCAGGTATGCCTATTTATGCCTTTTCTCTAGTGTGAAATCTGCCTCAATCACGCTGCAAAATAGCCAAAAAAAAGGCGGATACCAGTAATTCTCATTGCACCACAGTGGCCCAGAAGAACCTGGTAATTAGACATACTCAGATTTCAAGGTCCTCTATTCCATCCTGCTTCTTAATCCTCTGTGCCTCGCATTCTGGCCTTCTGGTCAAGCCCGACAATCAGGGCTTGACCAAAACCTGGCCTTAAGTACTTTTTAGGGGCAGGTTTCAGCCTTGTCCATTCTTTCCTCTGGCCTTGCTTTCACTTGTAAATATTTTTTATTCAAGGTTTTTCTTGGATCAAACCATCCTTACAGCACCCTGTGTTTCCTTGGGACCCTAATTTGGTTTAATCTGCCCTTCAGAAACCACCCTTTAACCTATCAGAGACCTCTCTCCTGCAAGGTAGTCTTCTTGGTGACTATCACATCTGTTAGACGTCTGAGTTATCAGCTGTCTTATGTTAGGAGCGAGCCATTATTCATTCTTCACAAGGACAAAATAATGGTGGTGTCAGCCTTTCATCTCAATTAAGATATAGTCCCTTCTTCACTGTACCCTTCTTCAAAGCACCCAAATAATATTGCTCTTCATTGTCTGGATGTAGTCAGAGCGAGAGTCTATCTCGAAGCTACAGCTTCTTTTAGGAAGGTGGATTCTCTTTTCGTCTTACCTTCAAGACCTTGTAAGGAACTTGAAAGATCCACAACCACTAAGTGGATAAGACAACTAATCTCAAGAGTTTACACCCTAAAGGACAAAGCACCCTGCTGCTTACTGTACCAGATTGGTAAGAGTTTCCTGAGTATTCGGACATCAATCCTCTGTTGCCCAGCTTTTTAAGCTTGCGGTATAATCTTTTGTTCATACCTTTTTCTAAGTTCTGCTAGGTGGACATCCGTTCTTCTGTGGACACAGCTTACGGCTATAAGGTTCTTGCAACAGCACTGGCAGTTGGCTGTGTTGACCCTTGTTTTTTTTTTTGGGCCTTTTTGCACAGTTTTGTGTGCCTTGTTGCCCACACTTTCTATTCATTGCTGGGGAACGTCCCAGGGTCTATAAATATCTATCCTGTGTCCTGTACTGTACAATTAAGATAAAAGTATTTGACTTACCTGTAAATTTCATATCTTGGAATTACATGTTCCGAGTATCATTTGCATATAACACTTGCATGTTCATAGCCAGAAGTATGGTTAAAGAAGGCTGAAAGCATTTGGCTGCCCTTGAACCAAAAGATCTTCAGCAACAGATCTGTCATTGGCTCCTGGTTGCTACCTCATTCCCTATCTACCCTTTTGGTGACTGGATACTAAGGTGATCTTTAAGAACCATACAGTCACTACAACTTTGCATTTCATGAGACAGTGGGTGTGTTATGTAATATACAAATATACTGTATAACCAGAAATGATTGCTTAGCTTTTGTTTGACTAAGGCGGGCCATAGACAGCTAATTTTTTTGATCAGCCAGATTTCTGATCAAAAAAAGTGAATGGATTCCCCATCCACACATGCGATGTGGACAGTCGAATACTCCCAGCTGTGCCTTAATATTCTGACAGCAGGACTTTTTCTTTGTCAGAATATACTGATCAGTAGCTGCAACTGATTGGCTGCAAGCTGCTGATTGACTAAAATTTTCCAACAGTCTTGTTTGACTTCTGTAAAGCAGGAACTGTCTCTGCTGGACTGGCCAAATGTCGATCCTTCTTTTATGTTTAGATGGTAGGTAAGCAGTGAGTGGTTTACAGGCTAACTGAAATTTGTTTTTTTAAACAAAAAGTTCAGTCTTAAATCTATCTTCCATTAAAATAGTAGCTATTATTTTTTTTTTATGTTTTCTTTAGTGCATTAACTTGTTGTCCAAAAATAAAACCCATAATCACTGCATTTGAATTCAATACAAATTTTAGAACAGTTCATTTATAATTTTCCTGCTGTAACAAGTGGTTGTCTTACAGCTGTGCCACAGCTTACATTCTCCTGGCAGAAGAGGAAGCTACAACCATCTCTGATGCAGAAAAGTTCTTTCAACAAGCACTGAAAGCAGCAGAAGGTGCTTACAAGAAATCTCAGCAACAGCAACACTTGAGTTCTCAACATGAAGCTCAGCATAGTGAGTAAACCCTGTCCTGTTTCCCAGCTAAAATTGTTATACTCTGTTGCACTTCAGTAAATCATATGTGTCGTCCATCGGATTCCTTTGTGAGAATTTATCTAGCAAATGTTTGAATGTGTATGTGTGGGATTGGGGGTCGGGGTGCAGTGCATCGGAGAGGTAATTTTAAAGATGGTATATGTTGAAGGATATCAGCAGAGCATTTTTCTAGAAAACTCTAGGATTACAATAGATTTAGCACGTTCTTCAAAGTACTCACTGAAACCCCTATGTGCAGTGACAATGGAGTAGAGTTGTCTGTGCTGGAGTGGCTCATGGCTGATACAGGACACCCAATCAAGGCCCTTCCCTCTCAATTGCATCAGTGGATGGGCACCCAGACCTCTTTGGAGGTATCTGAGTTTGGCCTGTACTGCAGGGGCATGCAAAGTGGGGTGCTGTTGAAATAAAGTCTTCCACTGAGTTTGAAGTCTGTAAAACTACATTAATTAAGCTGTGCATTCTACCAGTGTGTATCTAAGGCCTTGTTCACTTGGGTGCCTATGCCCGTGCAACACAAATTCCCTATTTGATGTTCAACAAGCAATAAAATAGCAAAAAGTAGAAATGTCTAAATTTTTTTGCATACATTAAAACAATATAATCATGTTTATGATAGAACAGGCATATATCCGAGTACACCTGCACATAGCCATTCATGTCTGTGGGAGGCTGTATGTAGCACCTGGGTTTTCCAGATTGGGGAAATACACTGGAATTTGTGTTGCACAGACTCAGGTGCCCGCATGCAGGAGACAAGGAATATAAAATGGGGAAATATAGCGATCTATTCACTTGATAGCCATATGTGAATGATGGGGTCCAAAAAAAAAATTGTACCGACTGAAAGATAAAAAGTCAGTAGGCATGTATAAGCTAGTCCATCCAATGGTTGGATCTTAGGCGCTAAAGAGGGTCAAACAACTCAGGGAAAGCCTCTTAAAGGGAGTAGAAGCAGTCTCCATAATATTGAAGAAAGAGAGAACACAGAGGCGCCTCTAAGAGTAGACTGTTAAGATTTACTTAAGGTTCCTGGACCCAGCTAAGTTGTGGCACATTGTTATACAGCCTGAGTGCGGACCCACCATGGATAGACTTTTTACATGCCTGTTTTATCCACCTAAATGTGAGTGGTTATACACTTTTTCTTAAATAAATCTTAACAGTCTTCTCTTAGAGGCACCTCTGTGTTCTTTCTTTCTCACATGCAAGAAGGCCTACTACAACAAAAAATGTTTATATTCCTCCATAGCAATTAATAAGGATATAATACTCATGCACTGCCACAAATAAATATCATTTGGTTTTAGTGGCTCAGCCAGTTTTTTTTTTTTACTATTGACTTTATTTGTTTCACAGATTTATTCAATTACACATTGGGTTTGAGTCCTAAGAAGTGTAAGAAATTCTTAGATGGTATAAAGTGATATTAAAGGTGTGTGTGTGTGTTTTTTTTTTTTTTTTAACAAGCATGTTATACTTACCTGCTCTGTGCAGTGGTTTTGCATAGAACAGCCCCAATCCTCCTGTTCTCGGGTCCAGCACTCCAGGCTCCCCCTCCTGCCTAGTACCCCCATAGCGAGCAGCTTGCTATGCGGACACCTAAGCAGGCTCCCTCCCAAATCGCTTCTCTGTGTGTCCAATCACAAATGGAGTGTGGCTTGGCCCCGCCCGCAAACTCTCTCATTGGCTTACTGACTGTGATTGACAGTAGCAGGAGCCAATGGCTACCATTGCTGTATCAGCCAGTGAGGAGGGAGAGACCTGGGACAGCTGATCGAGATGGGACTCAGGTACGTTTTAGGGGGGGTTGCTGCACATAGAAGGTTTTTACCTTCATGCATAAAAAAACCTTGAGCCTTTACAACCACTTTACATCTATCAAAAACAATATCAGTTTTGGGTGAAATGACTCTTTTCATTCAAGATATTTTACAGAGTTTGTGTTGTAGGCATTTTTTTATTGTGGTATGGTTCAACATGTAACTGAAAACAAACTTTTTTTTTTTTTTTTCTGTCCAGAACGAGACATGAATGTCTTGGTTTATGTAAAGAGAAGGCTGGCAATGTGTGCTAGAAGATTAAGAAGAATACGAGAAGCTGCAAAAATAATGAGAGATGTAAGTATTTCCGTATTTTGAGATTTTTTAAACTGTAAAAAACTGGATTTTTTTCTACATACTTACCATTTCTTGGAGTACATCACGGGACACAGAGCAGGCTATTCATGACTATATGGGTTATAGGCCACCTATAGGTGAATGGATACTGGCCGACCAATCAGAGAGGAGGTCCTCCCCTATATAACCCCTCTTATCCAGGATGTATCTCAGTTTTTGTGGCAAGTAATGGCATTCCAGAAAGAAGAGTGGGACCTCTGTGTCCCGTGATGTACTCCAAGAAATGGATTTTACAGGTAAGTATGTTGAAAAAAATCCAATTTTCTTTATTTTCTTGGAGTACATTACGGGACACGGAGCAGGCGATTCATGACTATGTGGGATGTCCCAAAGCAATAAGAAATTTGAGGGGAGGGTGGCACCATGATAACCACCATCAATAATTCCTCAGGACCTACTCAGTCATCCGTAAAACACTGCGGCCAAGGCCAGAATCCTCTGCAGCTCTGACATCCACCTGGCAGAATTTCGTGAATGTGTGAACCGAAGACCATGCAGTGGCCTTGCAAACCTGAGTCACTGACACCTGATGGCAGATTGCCCAAGATGTACCCACACTCCTGTTAGAGTGTGCCTTACCTTTCAAACCATAGGCTTGAATGATCAATTGGCGTATCCAATGAGAAATAGTTGCGTTGGATGCTGCCTGCCCCTTCCTAGGCCTCTCTGGCAGCACAAATAGAGCATCTGACCTCTTGACCTGTTCTGTCATCTTCAAGAAGACCCTTACAGCACGAATCACATCCCAGGTATGCAGAGATCTTTCTCTTGCTGACTGAGGCCTAGGAAACAATGAAAGCAGAAGTATGTCCTGATTGAGATGAAAACCAGAAACCACCTTTGGTAAAAAGCACGGATGAGGTTGTAAACACCACCTTATCAAGGTGCAAAATCAGAAGTGGTTCTCTGCAAGATAGAGCTGCCAGCTCTGAAACCCTTCTCGCAGAAGTGATTGCCACTAGAAACACCTTACGAGTCAACAGGAGCAGTGGAATCTCTCCAATAGGTTCAAATGGTGGCTTTTGCTAAACCCTAAAAACCAAGTTCAGGTCCCAAGGACACAAAGGCAACCTGACAGGAGGAGCCATACGCATCACTCCTTGTAAAAAAAGTGTGGACCAAAGAGTGAAACACAATGGGCCTCTGGAAAAAAATATCTAATGCTGAAACCTGGCCCATAATGATGGGGATGACAGAATCCGACACTCCCCTATCCTTCAGGATCTGGGTTTCAATAGCCACAACGTCAAATAAACGACCGTAAAGCTGGGTGCATTAAAGGACCTTGAGACAACAGGTCTGGCCGATATGGCAGGGCCCACCACCCATCTACTGCTATCTTCACTATGTCCGTGTACCAGGCCCCACTGGGCCAGGCCAGAGCAATCCATATTACCGGAATAGACTCCTCCCGAATCCTGCGTAAGAGGCACTGCAGCAGCTGCATTAGAGGAAAGACCTAAATCAGTGAGAACTGGTTCCAAGGAATTACTAAGGCATCTATCGCTGACACACGAGGGTCCCTTACCCTGGATACAAAAAGACCGACCTTGTTGTTGAACCTGGATGCCAATAGATCTACATCCGGGCAACCACATCGCTGGCAGATTTCCTTGAAAATATGGGGATGCAAAGCCCATTCCCCAATCAACTGCCAGTGATTGAGATAATCCGCCTGCCAATTTTCCACACCTGGAGTAAACACTGCTAACAGATTTGGAACATATCTCTTTGCCCAGGTCAGAATGTAGTTCATGTCCTTCTGAGTACCACGACTCCTGGTACTGCCCTGGTGATTGACGTATGCGACTGCTGTGGCATTGTCAGACTGAATCCTTACAGGCCAACCCTGAAGCCTGGATGTCCAATATCTCAAAGCCAGCCTCACTGCTCGAAGTTCCAGGACGTTAATGGGAAGAACTCTTTCCTGTGGAAGCCATGTTCCCTGAACTGTGACCTCCTCCAGATCGCCCCCCCAACCTGAAAGACTTGCATCGCTGGTTACCAACTTCCACACAACTGGCTAAAATGATCTTCCCTTCTCCAAATTGTGAGTTATCAACCACCAATTCAGGCTCTGCTGCACCTCTGGAGACAGAGATATGCAGTAATCAAGGGCTGGAATCTTTTTGTTCCAAAAAGACAGAATGTACCTTTGCAGTGGTCTGGAGTGGAATTGAGCATAGGGAATAGCCTCGAACGAGGACACCATCTTCCCCAGCAACCTTGCACAGAGGCGAATTGAAGGATACCTGTTGCCTTCAAACTGCAAACCTCGTTCCTCTGGATGCCATGTTTCCAGAAATACCTTTGCCTGAACCGTGTCTAGGACCATCCCCAAATACTCCAGGCTATGCACTGGTTCCAGGACCCTTCTTGAGGTTGAGCGCCCAGCTGTTCCAGGATCTGCATCGTAAGGACCACATCCTGCTTCAGATCTGGCACCAACCGAATTCTGAGCAATAGATCGTCTAGATAATTTGTGACCGATACTCCTCGAGTTCTGAGTAGCCCCAACACCGGAGCAAGAAGTTTTGTGAAAACTCTGTGAGCCGTGGCCAGCCCAAATGATAGTGCTATAAACTGGAAATGCTGAGACCCTACTGCAAATCGCAGAAATCTTTGGTCAGGAATTAATATTGGTACATGCGGGTATACATCCTTGAGGCCTATGGGCGCCAAAAAATCTCTGTCCTGTAGGGAGGCCACTACTGACTGAACTGATTCCAAATGAAAGAATCGGACATATAGGAACTGATTTAGCCACTTGAGGTAAAAAATGGGCCTTACATCCCCATTTGGTTTTGTGACTGTAAACCGGTTTGAATATAACCCCTGAAACCTTTCGCCCGCTGGAATCCCCGTGATTATTCCTTGAGCCAGTAGGCAATAGAATGCCTGAAATAAAGCTCTTTTTTTTCCTCTGGATTCGTTGGTATGGTACATTTGACCTTAGAAACTGGGGAGAGGGAAATAGCTGAAATTCTAGTCCGTACCCCAGGGAAATCGTGGAAATGACCCATTTGTCTTGGATTAGAGCCCTCCATGCGGCCCCAAAATTCAAAAGCCTTCCCCTCACCTGAATAAGTGGGGGTGCCCCTTCATAAGGAGGCAGACTTTGGATCTGTCTTAGACGTCTTTTGCACCCAGGTCCTCCTTGGGTTTTGATTCTGAGATCTGGTCCTGAAGGCTGGGACCTGTGTGTGGCGAAATGACTGCCTGGTATATGAGGGCCCAGCAACCAAAGCCCCTGACACCTTAAAAGAGGGGTGTTTGGATTTCCTCTTAGAGGGTAGAAGAGTACTTTTACCCCCTGAAATCTTTTGGATATATTTGTCCAAATCTTCCCCAAACAGCCGTTCCCCAATGGAAGGGAAAACCTGTTAACAATTTTTTGCATGGCAGTTCTGCTGACCAACTCTTCACCCACAAAACCCTGCACATGTGCACTGAAATTTGCTGAATTGAATCCTTAAGAGCATCAACTGTGAAACACAAAGCACGCAGAACATCCTCCAAATCTTCAGCTGAGCATTCGCCCTGCACTGATGGTACTCCAATCTGTTGTTTGACACGGTCAGAAAGACTCTGGCAAATGCCAATACCTGCCACAGCTGACTGTGAGGCAAAACCTGCCAGGGAGAAGGAGGCCTTAAGGAGAGACTCTAGCTTCTTATCTGCTGGGTCCTTGAAAACCTGTACATTATCCACAGGAAATGTTAGAGATTTATTCAGGGATGAAACAGCTGCATCCACTACAGGCAACCCCAATTTCTTAACAAACGTTTGTTCTATGGGGTACAAAACAGAAAATCTTTTTGGTAGAACAAAAACCCTGTCTGGGTGATCCCAGTCAGCATACATAATTTGCTACAGAAGATGATGCACCAAAAAAGCCTGCGTAGTCTGTGAAGGCTTCAAAGAGCCCAGGGAAGAATAAGTAACGTCAGAGGTTTTTATCGGAGGTAGCCTGATTCCAAACTGTACCATATCAGTGAGGTCTTGGACTAAAAATCTCTGAGAATGGGAGGCAGAGACCTCCTGCTTCTCCTTAGGCTGTGACTCCTCAAACAGAAATTCTACTGTCTGACCTTCCTCCAGCTCTTCCTCATCCTCAGGCTCCACCCATTCCTTCTCCAGGATTGGTGGTTTTAGTGACGGGGATCTATCCTGCTTCTTAGTCTCCTGAGAAACTGATGCAATCATCCCAGCGATTTTATCTTCCAATCCCACTAATGCTGAAGCAAGATCATACTTGGTTACGTATGCTGAGGCAGAAGCCCCAGTAGTAGCCACAATGCCAGATAGACGCAGCGGCTCAGACTGCCCAGTCGCTTCTGGCCTTTCAGGAGAGGATATTACAGCGGACCATCGGCTAGGTTTCTCAGGATCTGATGGTGGTACATTAGTGCCCTTTCCTGCTGCACCTCCCCCACTGCGCTTTCTGGAAGACATTATTTCAGATAGCGCAAACCTGTGAACCTCCACTAGTAACACATCTCAATGATACAGCTATGCAAGCAGTGTGCTAAAAAAATACTCGATGCAAATGCTGCCTTATGAGCCACCTAGGGAGGCTACTGACTGACTGGTTCATGCTTTCTCCTCAGGGAAGTACTCACCCCTACTGAATAGCCCACTCTCTGTCCTGGCCAAAGGAGATTTCTCAGCAGCAACAGCAGCCCATGTGTGTCCTGGCCTCCAGATAAAAAAATATGGCCAACTTCCATTTCCGGCTGCACTCCTTCTAGTGGCCAAAAACAAAAAGAGGAAGCACATCTCTGGAACAACAGTGAGCACTCTACCTGGTGGAAACAGTCACAACACCTCCTTCTCCCTCCAATTTAGAGCTTTGTTTGTTTCTCTTTGAAGAGAGAAAAAAAGGAGATATCTTATCAGTCCCGCCCCAGGTCCCTAACTTCCGTCAGGCACCAACCTTCACCCATCACGGCATTGACATACAGACCTTCAAGGACTCAGTCCCCATGCTGACGGGCTACTGCCTTGGACCCATACAGCATCCCGCTGGAAGCGCCTTGGTCAGATTTAGAACTCTACAGGTTTCCATGTGCACGGGGTCCAGCGCCATAAGGCTAAATTAATGGCAGAATCTTAAGGATTCTTCACCTAATCCAGCGAGGCTCTGGTACCATCCATTTTAGCTCATAGCCTTCCGAATGGATCTGATTAAAGTCCTTGATTCTCTAATGGAACCATTCTGGACTTTCAGGTATGCTCCAAAAGCACAGCAACACTTTCAGTGACCATCCACCTTACAGACACTGGTGAAAAAACTGAGGTACTTCCTGTATAGGAGGGGTTATATAGGGGAGGAGCTCCTCTGATTGGTCGGTCAGTGTCCATTCACCTATAGGTGGCCTATAACCCACATAGTCATGAATAGCCTGCTCTGTGTCCCGTGATGTACGATAAAGAAAAATAAATTATGTTTTCAAAGCAGAAATCTTGTTTTAGATTTCCAGTCTATAAAGGACCGTGGAGCATTGGTGACATTTTGTGGCATTCAGTTGGTGGTTAAAAAGGGTGGGCAACATTCACCAATTGAAGATGGAGGAACATCTGTATCAGGCTGGTTATTATGTGGGGAATTTCTCAAGCGAATTAGCATCCCAATTCAATGTAGACTGCCTCTTGTTTAATATGTTTTTCTGTGTATTTATGACTCATTTGCTTGGGCCAACTGAGACAGATTTGCACAAGTCTGCAACAGATTTAGCAATGAGTAGGAGACTTTCACTTCCAATTAAGAAGAGGTTATGTTGCATTGCCCCTATAGAATAGCAAAGGGAGGGATTTATGAATAAAGCTGAACTTGTGATAAATCTCTCTGACTGATACTGCTTGGCATTGAATTAAATAATAATAAATGTCCCCAAATGAGCTATGAGACACAGACCCCAGTTTTTTCTCTGAAGTACATTGCTTGCTCGTTGAAACAATATCAGGAGTGCTGGAGCAACTTTACTGGCCCCTGTATGGGCACTCAGGTGTAGTATGAAGTTTTTTTTTAAAGTACCTATGTTTGTGTAGTCTAGCAGTCTTCAGCAAGGCAGCATTATGAAGTCAAATCGAGGCATGGAAGCTGCCATTAGTAACCTTCCTTAGTTTACAGGTGGCCTGTCTGCTGTTCAGAGACAATGAGGTTAAGTGCAAGCAAAAATTCAGTTTTTTTATTTTTCTTGCATGTAATTGGGAATTGTTTGCAAAGTGAAATGTTTAGCACATTCACTAAGCTATGGGGCAAATTGCCTTGCAAAGTGAAACTTCCTTTGCAACTGAACAGTCTATTTGCCTTCGATAATTGACTTCCTAAGGCACTCACCCAGGGAAAGTATTCTAATAAGCAGAGTTCTAACTTTCTTGATCTGCATTCTTATTCCAGATCAGTGAGTCAGAAAGTACTGAATCCATTGGATTACCATGACAACCAGCAATTATCTTAAGAAAGAGGTCCAAAGTTACCCTTTACTGAATATTGAAACTAGACTTGTATTTTTATGTATATGCTGATTACATCCAGACTTTTTTTTTTTTTGCTTTGATGGGGAAATACCTGTTTATCTTGCCAGTTCCCCTTCTATCCTAATTTACACTTAACATGTCAAACATGGAAGCAGATCCATGCTGGAGTGGTCAGCTTATGTAGATGTGTACCCTGTTTGGAGTAACAGGACACCTTACCAATGTGTGCCTATATCTCAGAATATCAGTTTGGCTGCCTCACCTCCTGCTCAGCCCTTCTGTGTTAATTGACAATGGCTTCTGCTAGAAGCTGCTTTAAATCAACAGAGCAGACCTGGGCAGGGGGCCTGATGATTAAACAGACAATAGAAATTACCTGACTTTGTGTCTATACACAGTGTGCCTGTAACTCCAAGCAGCACAAGGCAATGGTGTGAGTGTGATGTTCCCCTGACACAGAGACATTTGCCCCACTACTGTGAATGGTAGGAACAGAGGCTGTGTGGTCATGTGACCACCATTTAATGCCTGCTTAGCTGAAAAAGGGAGTGCTTAGCTCCTCCCCTCCTCCAGATAAAAAAAAATGTCCATAAAGACTCCTGTCTTGGCAATGTGTCGCAATGTGCTACCTCACATAGTTGGATGAATGTAATTTTAAAAAAAACTGTAATGTTTGTAAGAGTGCACTGCATTGCTTGTGCACAACATATAGCATGGGCAGGTTATGCACAACACAGCACATGCCCACTGATATGAATTGACATTTAATGTGTTGGTGCACTGCAGCGCTGTGGCCTGTTTGGCATGAATGAGTGGTTTGTTTACGTGTCAAACACAGCCGCGAGACCTAGCCTGACTGGGTGCTGGTCCATGGCCCCAAACACAGACAGTGTGCATTTGAGACTGCTCACCTGGGTTTGTGCCTTCCTGGTAATGTGACCATTGTAACTGGCCCTCACCAGTGGTCACCTTATCGGGAGCCTTTACCACTGGTTCTCGATCAGAAGTCATTACTAAAAGCTTTTGGTGACAGCTCTGTCAGTGTGCTGGGAGTGCACACTGAGCATGCTTTAAGGTCACAACCTCAGACCGCTGAGACGCATATTTGTGGCAGCTGGGCATTAAGGTCCACTATGCCTGCTGTTGCACATATGCTTTATACGTTAGGGAAAGGTTAAATAATAACAGATATATTTTAAAGGTCACTGGAACAAAACAGTTCAGGTTCAGTTAGACTCAGTTGTGACCTACTACAGTGTATATACATTTATATGCATACTTTTTTTTCTAAACATGAAACTACAATTAAAGTGATTAAAGAAATTCTAGATGTCTGGTGGAATTATGGAAAAGATTCCACAGCTTATTTACAAGTGGCCCACTCCCCCATCTGCTTCTGAAATGTTATAGTACAACAGTAAGTGCAAAAGGAATATTGAATGTGGAACAATTTGTATGTGTTACACATTACAGGCCTGATTGATTGTCACACTGAAAAATGATATATCAAAACTACCCATTAATAACAAGCAAAGCATAAAATAAATCCAGCAAAGCTATGCAATTACTAATCAGACTGTAATGCACTCTAATTAGGTTCCATTCATTTGAATGCGCCAGAAAAATTGAATAATTGCATGTGAATGTGAAAGTAATGATATATTTGTTTTAACTAATTGATGTATTTACTTGCAGTTAATGAAAGAGTTTCCTTTGCCCAGCATTGTAAAATATCCATGAAAACCTGCTGGAGGCTCTTCTGGAATTGCAGGCATATGCGGATGTTCAGGCAGTGCTTGCTAAATATGACGGTGAGCTGAACTGTTGTCACCCAGGTATTGCTAATGTAGTGTGTTAGCAACACTTTAAAAACTTTACCTTAAAAGTTGTCTAAAATTATTATATAGTGGATTTTGCCTTGCTAACCTGTAGTACTTGATCAGTTATTTACTATGTATATACAAATGTGTGCTGGTGTTTCTTTAACAAACAAAACTAATGATTAATCAATCCGTAGTAGATATCACACATCTGTACAATTTGTTCAGGCCTATAAAATACAAAATTATATAAAAGTGGGGGTTTCAGTGTCACAATAACTCCAATGCTTCTGTGCTCCAACAGTGCAAAAACAAACTCAAGTGCTCCAACACCTCCACACAAGGCTGCTTACCAGAAGCTCAGACCTCACTGCGTAAGAGGTTTAAAAGCGCTTTATGATGAAAGACATTCAGATCCCTGATGGATGGGTGGATTTCTCCTACGTCTCACATGTCAATGATAGCTTGCAGTATGGCTTAATAACACACATAGAGAAAGCACAAGTGGAACTGCAAAGTATAGCAACTCAGGACAGTGTTTGATGTCCATGTAAAAGCAGGTACTCCCAAACAAAAACTCGGCAAGATTCAAATGTCTAGCTCGCCCGTCATTTTAGTATAGGCTGGGCGGGAACTGGTTAAATACTTACCTGGCTGGCACTTAAGAAGGATAAAGCGATTACGCTGTGGCCATATTGTTCACTCTTGCACCCCTGCTTCTGACCCTTCTTCTATTTCTACAATTGGGATTTTAGATTTCACAAGCTGTGCTAGATTGTAGTCTGTCATTTTTAAAGTGGTTCTAACGGCTGAATGATTTTTACCTTCATACATTCTATGCATAAAGGTAAAAAACCTTCAGTGTGCAGCTCTCCCCTCAGCTTCCTCCATAAACATACCTGAGCGCGATCTCAATCCAGCAATATGCATGGGAGCAGTGGTTCTCCTGGGTCTCTCCCTCCTCATTGTCTGAGACACAACAGTAGATGCCGTTAGCGGGGATGAATATATGGTTTGGCCATTATTGAAGGATCTGCTCAGTGATGATAGAAAACCTGGCAAGCGCACTATTTTTGACACCCTTTCATATACCTTCTGCTCCTATGCTTCTCGCATATCCACTCACTTAAACGCAAGTGTTCAGTAGAGCTATGTGTGCAAGTTTATGAAATGCTCAGTAACACTTTTAAACTGAAGGTTGGTGGATGTTACCATGGATGACCACTTTGTCTCAAATTTAAATATAATAATGCAGCCATTTGATGTTTTATTTACTCAAATATAGATTTTCACTAACTACTTAAAGTGGTTGTAAAGGCTGAAGGTTTTTAACCTTGATGCATTCTCTGCGGAAGTAAAACCTGTAATTCTTTTCAGCTACAGAAGCTGCCATCTTGGCCTCTGTTTGATCTGATGTGACACCAGCCATTGGATGGTTTGACAGCTTGGTTGAAAGCACAAGCAAATGTAACAGCATTCTGGGCATGCAGGGAACTTAACTGTCTTTTGAAACCAGCAAATTAATGGATTTAGTTCCACTTAAAGCCTCATTCACACCATACATGCAGAAAAAAAATGTGCAGATTTCATATGCAGAGACATGAGTTTGTCATCAGTTTTCATGCACATTTCAGTATGTTTTTTATACACATTGCAGATTCCTGCACAGAAAAAAAATCTGCATGTGATACTAGTGTTGTTTGAACAGGGCACATGTAGAACAATTGTTTTCTTTGTGCTCTTGCAGAATGCATGCAGAAAAACTCACATCTCACAGTGTGAACAAGGCATTAAGGTAAAAAAACTTTTATTGTCAGCTCCCTCCCAACCACCCTTAAATACTTTCCTGAGACTGATCTAGTTCCAGCACTGTGTATGAGAGTAGCAGCCCTCTCCACTCTTTCTCTCCTCACAGGATAGAGAGGCAGCAGCGGGAGCCATTGACTCTTGCTACTCTGTTAGTCCAGTGAGGAGGGCGCAGGGACAAGCTTGCTGTGTGTGTTTGTGTGCCCCCTCAGTAAGTACTATCAATTAGTGAATTGTATCTACTATTGAAGAAGCAGTACAACTGAGTGAAAATCACAAATTTGCCTCAGCAATTTTTTAAAACCTATCTTAGAACTTTCAGATGTATAGAAGAGGGAGAACATTAATATAGTGGTCCTTCAAGTGAAATCCCAATAAAATGAAAAAACTTACATTTACTGTCATTATGAGGGTTAAGAATCAGGATCATGTGTTGTTTCCAGGCATCCTTGTTTTTCTTTTGATTTGAGCAAGATAATTATAATATAGTATTTATATAGCTGCAACAGTTTGCACAGTGGTTTAAAATTTAAAGGGAGACTACAGTTACAATACAATATAATATGAGTGTTAAGAGGGCCCTGCTCATAAGCGCTTACTATTTAAATAGACCTCATGCTAATGGAAAGATACAGTAATGTAGTTTTAGTCGGTTCAGGTTATCACAATATATTCTAAGGAAACGCTCAGTTGAGTGCTAAAGTTAAACCTTTGGCGGCGTATGTGCAGTTGACGTATACTACCAAAGAAGCACTAACAGAACTAGCACAGGAGCCAAGCTGCAACGTAAAAAACTTGGAAGAAGGGTACAGGTGCCTGTTCTGAACAAGATTAAATATTTTTAACCATAAACAGCAGCTCAAATTATTATGCACACAAACATTTCACGTAGTCATGACTTGTTATAAAACTTGGGAATATCTGTACTGTCTGTCGTTATGTCTGTAATGTGTATAATATTACTGGCCTTGGAAACAAAAACTTGTGCTGATCTGTTTAGTGTGTAACTTTTCTTTTGTAGAGAAGCAAATAGACCTTTCTAGGCCTGTTATATATATATATATATAAATGTTGGTAGAATTTTTGGCTAGTGTCATTTTATAGTTTTATCTGCTGCTGTTCTGTTGAATCTGACTGTGCTTTGTGAGTACTAAGTAGGACAGTGTTCCTACTACAGTCACCTGATCAGTTCCAGCGATGTAATTGGAGTAAAAATGGTGGAAAAACAGTAAAGCATTAGTTTGAGCAGAAAATGGGGTTCTGGGGACGCTCTGTGTTCAGAAAACTCTGAACACAAACTCTGTGTATAGAAAACATTCCCAGTGTTTCCTCTGTTGCTGTTGTTACAAAGAAGCAACATTTGATTTTTCTGACAAGTTTAGAAAGAAAGCAGATTATACATTGTAATTTATATAATTTTTTACATTGCATAATTGATTTGTTGTACAAGTACAGGACACAAGATCTATAGTCTTTAACAATGGGTTATATGCAGCTAACTTCAGGTTATTGTATGTTCCCACTCCCAGGTAGCCTCAGTTTTTTCCTAGTTTTTCTAGGTGATGGACTTTCTCTTTCTACTGAGAAAAACTTACGTGTTTTCTGTGGAAGTTTTTACTTCTTTCTTTTTATAAGATCCTGGCTTTATCATAGTCACTGTGGCTCCTTTCTGCATCTTTCGAATCAGTTGACTCAGTGGCTGAGCCTTTGAGGAGTATACCAAGACCCTGCCTGGAGGAGATCTAAGGCTAGTCTGCAATGATGCTTTTGGCAATGGATTCTGTGTGGGCTCTCACCAAGGTATGTAGTGCATCATGTTGAACTAGCCACAGTGTGTTATACAGGCCCAGGGCTTTGGTCTGCTCTTGTACACTTTTTCTTAACATTAGAGCAGTCTGAGTCAGTTCCTGTGGTGGACCCTGCCATTTCGTGTCTTAAAAAGACATTAACAGTGCCTGTAGAGGATAATGCCATGGTTAAGGACCCAGTGGATAAAATTTAGAGACCCTCTTTAGGGCTCTTTTTTTTTTTTTTTTACCTTGGCGGGTCCTGCCATGCAACTTTTTACCTTGGTGGGTCCTGCCATGGTTACTTCCATAGCAGCCTGTCAGAACCTTGCCATCTAGACGAAGCGCATGAGTGGCTTGGTGGATATGCTTCACTAGATCTCCAGGATGAGCCTTCTGTCATTCTGCTCTTGTGCTTGGACCCCTTAGCTGGACAAAAATCCAGTTAAAGAATTCCATGTCCCACAACAACCCTCAAGGAGGCACTAGAAGTCTTGTCGCTGAAAGGTAAGTGGACTTGATCCTCTTTTAGGCAAAAATTATCTTTCCTACACCATCTACCATCAACATACTGGGCGTGGAAAATTGGCAGGTGGATTTTCTCAGTCTTTAGAGTCTGGATCCAGTTGAATGGGCTGTACACCCAGGAGTTTTCCAAGCCCTTTGCCGCAGTTGTTAAACACCGGTCATGGATCTTCTGGCATCCAGATTTAAGTATAAATTGAACAGTTTTGTTACCAGACCTTTGCAATGGATTCTCTGGTGTCTGTGTGTTATCCGTTTCACCTAATCTGTGCCTTTCCACCCCTCCAGCTTTTCCCTTGTCTGCTTTGCTGGGTCAGGATGGTGGGGGCATTATAGTGATTTTCATTGCACCAAACTGGCCCAAGGCAATGTGGTACTCAGACGTACTTAGACTGTTGCAAAACCTTTTTGACCCTTGCAAATCACCTAAACCTGTCTCAGGGGCTGGTGCACCATCCTGCTTCCCGATCGCTGGCTTTAAAGGCTTGTTGAAGTCCAGGTCCTAAGACAGGGCCTATCAGATTTGATTATCTTTGCCCTCTTGAAGTCTGAGAGTCAACTTCTCTCAGAGTCTACCCTTGTGCCTGGAAAGCCTATTTTGAGTGTTGTGAGACCAGGAAATGTCATCTTAGGAAGTACTCCATGGGACACATTCTATCCTTCTTCAGGCTGGCAACTTTTGGCCTGGAATACCTCTTATTTGCTCTTTATGGCATTTGTTCAGGGTGTCGTACACATCTACCCCTGTACATTCCCCTCTGACTCTGCGGTTCCTTAACCCGGTTCTATCAGCCCTGCAAACCTATTAAACATATACCCTTATCTGACTTTACTAACAACGTGGCTTTCTCATTGCTATCAACCTCTAAGTGTATTGTCTGTGAGTTAGCAGTCTTATCCGTTAAAGAGCCTTTCCTTGTGTTACGCAAGGACAAGTTTGTATGGAGGCCTAAAGCCTCTTTTACCAATAAAGTGGTTACCTCCTTCTACCTCAACCATGATATTGTCCTTTCCTTCTTATTGTTTCTTTGTAACTTTCCTGATGGAGCCCTTAGGGGGCTCTCTGCCTTTCCCTTAAGCATTGCTAGCTGAATTAGACAAATCCTCAATTGAGCCTGTGGTCTAAAGGATAGAGCACCTCCATTTCCTGTTAAGGGTCACTTTACCAGATCTGTTAGCTTCTCTTGAACTTGTCAGCATTAGGCATAAGGTTCTTCAAGCTGCTGTGAGCCTGTGAAGCCCTTGTTGACATATTTGTTAAGTGGGCCTTTTGGCGTTTGTTTTCTGTGTTGCCTACCCCTCAGTTGGATTGCCTTTGGATGTTCCATAGCTAAAGACTAAAGTTCCAGTGTCCTGAGTTTAAATCCATTTCTTGGAGTACAGTACAGAACACACATCTCTCTCCTCTGTTCTTTATTATCTCCCCATTGCTTGCTACAGAACTGTGAATAGCTGTGAGTAGGAGGGGTTTTTATAGGAGTGTCCCAACAGCATTTTTTTTTGCTTGTTTTCAGTCACCTAAAGGTAGTAGCATATAACCCATGGTTAAAGACTAATGATCCTGTGTCCAAAAATGGATTTTACTGGTAAGTCAAAAATACTAGTTTTTGTCCTTGATGATAAACAAATGTATTATCATTTTTTTTTGTTTTTACAGATATCAGTCTTCCAAAGTCAGCAACAATATGTTATACAGCAGCATTATTAAAAGCCAGAGCAGTGTCTGACAGGTCAGTATTTTTTGCATATTAAAGACTTTGTAGTTTTTAGGTTGAATATATTTTTATTGAAGCAAAAGGATTTTAGGCTACAGAAAAAAAAGAGTGAGGGCGTGGGGAGGGGAAATAAGAAAACAAGAAGTATCTTCCATCGAAAACAACACAGCTATTGTCATATGTAGGCATAAATGGCATCAATAACATTCCAAGACAAGGGTAATGGCTGTAGCAAATCACATATGCCGGTCATACAAAAGCAGGTATATCCCCTGCACCACAGGTGAAGGCAGACAATACAGTATAAATTTCAAATGACTAGATACTAGAGAAAGAAAGGAAGAAAGAGGAGAAGAAAGGGGAAAAAAAGGAGGGGGGAGGGGAATTGGTAGACACAAGGGCTCCCGAAAAAAGTATCAATACTGTTGAATAAAAACCTTCTTAATTGAGAAGAGCTGTGAAGTGGGCCCAAATGAGTATGTAAGGATGGGGTAAACTAGGAAGTCTATAGATGGAGAGAGGATGAAAGTGTACCATCCCAAATATTCAGCTCAGACCATAATAATAAGGGAGCCGATTGCAAAGCTTCTCCAATGAGGAGTAGTGTAGCCATATAAACCATGATTTATTATATGTTTCCCACCTGTCTGCTTCTCCGGCCTGCATTTCTTCAATCAATATGATATCATTTAAAATATCTACCCACAGAGTTAATGGGGAAATGGTAGTGGATTTCCAGAATTTAGAAATGAGCTGTCTCACAGCCGACATGAAAAAATCTCAGCAGACATGACTTTTGGGATTTTATGGAGCCTGATAGGATAGACAGCAAAGCTATTTTGGGGGAAAAGGGACGAGACTCATCATATACAGTTGCAAGAAAAAGTATGTGAACCCCTTGGGATTACGTGGAGTTTTGCATGAATTGGGCATAAAATGTGCTCTGAACTTCATCTAATAGAAGATGGAAACAACAATAGAAGAACACAGTCTGCTGAACATAATACTACACAAACATTAGACGTTGCCATGGTTTAATTGCACGTAACATGTAAACATTCACAGTGCAGGGAGGAAAAAATATGTGAACCTTTGGACTTAATAACTGGTTGACCCTCCTTTGGCAACAATAACCTCAACCAAACGTTTCCTGTAGTTGCAGATCAGACCTGCACAACAATCTGGAGTAATTTTGGACCACTCCTCTTTACAAAACTGTTTCAGTGTAGCAATATTCTTGGGATGTCTGGTGTGAATCGCTCTCTTAAGGTCATGCCACAGCATTTCAGTCGGGTTGAGGTCAGGACTCTGACTGGGCCACTCCAGAAGGCGTATTCTGTGCTGTTGCAGCCATTGTTTTGTTGAATTACTTGTATGCTTTGGGTCATTGTCCTGTTGCATCACTCATCCTCTGCGGAGCTTCAGTTGGCGGACAGATGGTTGTACGTTTTCCTGCAAAATGTCTTGATAAACTCTGGAATTCATTTTTCCCATCATTCCCTGAGGCAGCAAAGCAGCCCCAAACCATGATGTTCCCTCCGCCATGTTTTACAGTGGGGATGAGGTTTTGATGTTGGTGTGCTGTGCCTTTTTTTTCTCCACACGTAGTGTTGTGTGTTCTTCCCAAACAACTCAATCTTGGTTTCATCTGTCCACAGTATATTTTGTCAGTAGTACTGTGGAACATCCAGGTGCTCTTTTGCAAACTTCAAACGTGCTGCAATATTCTTTTTGGACAGCAATGGCTTCCTCCGTGGTGTCCTCCCATGTACTCCATTCTTGTTTAATGTTTTCCTTATTGTAGATGTGTCAACAAAAATGTTAGCATGTGCCAGAGATTTCTGTAGGTCTTTAGCTGACACTCTGGGATTCTTCTTTACCTCATGCAGCATTCTGCGCTGTGCTCTTGCAGTCATTTTTATAGGACGGCCACGCCTAGGGAGAGTAGCAACAGTGCTAAACTTTCTCCATTTGTAGACAGTCTGTCTTACCGTGGACACATGAACATCAAGGCTTTTGAAGATACTTTTTTAACCCTTTCCAGCTTCATGCAAGTCAACAATTCTTGATCGTAGGTCTTCTGAGAGCTCTTTTCTGCGAGGCATGGTTCACATCAGACAGTGCTTCTTGAAACCAGTAAACCCAAAACAGGTGTGTGTTTTTTTAAGGGCAGGACAGCTGTCAGCAACACATCCAATATCATCACACTGATTGGAGTCAAGGTTGGCTCACTCCTGGCTCCAATTAGCTCTGGGAGAAGTCATTAAGCTAGGGCCTCACATACTTTTTCCTCCCTGCACTGTGAATGTTTACATGTTATGTGCAATTAAACCATGGCAACATCTAATGTTTGTGTAGTATTATGTTCAGCAGACTGTGTTCTTCTATTGTTGTGATTTAGATGATGTTCAGAGCACATTTTATGCCCAATTCATGCAAAACTCCACGTAATCCCAAGGGGTTCACATACTTTTTCTTGCAACTGTACCTCATTATAGATCTGAAATACCTGAGTCCAGAACAGGCTGATTCAAGCACAGTCCCACCAGATATGAAAGTACATTGCTCTCTCTCCGTGACAGCGCCAGCAAGATGCCGTAGAGGTGGGAAAGATTCTGTGAATGGATACTAGATCCCGATACCACCTAGAGACCAGTTTAAAGTTTTCCTCTTGAACATAGGCAGAAACAGAGGACTTATGAGTGAATAAAAAGTCCTCAACCACAAAATCCCTTGACCAGATTCTAGAGTATGCGGGTAGCACACTATGAGTGTGGGCTAGGATCATTTTGTATAGTTGTGAAAGAGAATGATGAGGCAACTCAGGAAGGAGGCAGAGTTTTTTTAAAGTCTATCAAAGGCCTATGTATCTGTCTTGAGTCATGTAAAGATTTACAATACATAGATATGCGTAAAGCCATCAACCAGTTCAATGGTCCAGAAACTCCTCGTCTGTGAACCTAAAGGATCCCAATGTGGGGTGCAAAAGAGAGTGCATCGTGGGCCAAGTTAATCTGTCATAAGAGCAACGGGACAAAATACTCTCTGGCAAAGCCGGGATATCTAATAAAGGACTAATTGGGCTTGAATCCGTAGAAAGGGAGTATGAATCCTGGCAACAGTACCAGATAGAGAGTGAGGCCATCATCAAGGGTGAAAGTGATGACATGGTGTGATATATGGCAGTTTGATTCCAAAAAAATGCCCATAAGTCTACTGGTGACATGTCTTGTGCATTGATTGTAGGTGGTTGAAGTTTTCACTAGCGAGTGCGGGAACCACTCCAGAATTAGAGAAAGTAAAGCTGAAGATTGATATATCTCAAAGTCTGGGAGACCTGCTTCACCAGCAGATTTAGGATAGCATAAAAGTTTATGCTTCAGTCTAGGGGGGTGGTGTTGCCAAATGAATTGTATTGCAAAGGAACGCAAGGTCCGGAAAAAAGCTACAGGTAGTGTAATTGGAATAGTTTGAAATAAGTATAATAATTTTGGCAAAATGTCCACTTTTAACACACTTATCTGTCCAAACCAGTAAGTTTTTAAATGATGCCACGACTTTTAGAGATCTCCTAATTTTTGTAAGTAATGGCTATAATTAAGTGCGTATAAGTCCTGGGTGTGCACTGGAATCTCTGTACCTAGTTATGCGATAGACTTAGCTTGCCAAACGAAAGAGAAATTGCTCTTAAGGGTGGAAAGAACAGAAGGGGGTAAAGAGATATTTAAAGCTTTTGTTTTGGTGATATTCAATTTAAAGTTGCTAAATGACCCAAATCTATGGAGTTCCTGTAAGAAAGAAGGAATGCTGATGTGAGGCTGGGTAACATAAAGTAATAGATCATCAGCATATAAAGATAATTTACAGTGTGAAGAGGGCATTTGGATACCTTTTAATTGAATCGTTATTGCGGATGCCTTATGCTAAATGTTCTATAACTATTGTGAATAAGAGGAGTGAGAGGGGGCATCCCTGTCTGGTACCATTAGCTATAGAAAACCTATCGGAATGGGTCCCGTTCGCTAAAACCATGGCAGAATTTGAAGAGTAAATCATCATGATTCGGGCGAGCATCCTAGGGCCTACGCTTAATGGAGTTAAAGAGAGTCGAAGGAAAGACCAGTTAATGCCTTTTCTGCATCACAGACGAGGAGACAGGCTGGGATGTTGTGGCGATGTTGTGGCGATGAGCATAAGAGATGAGGTGTAGGGTCTTGGTTGTGTTATCCTTTGCCTTTCACCCAGGGATGAAACCAACCTGGTCTTTATGAATCAGGTCAGGTGAAAGGGGAGATAGACGGTTGGCAATAATTTTAGTGAAAAGCTTTAAATCCACATTGAGCAAGGAAGTAGGCCTACAATTGCTGCAGATGGAGGGTTATTTCCCGGGTTTAGGTATGACAGTGATTCGGGCTTGCAGACAAAGTGAGGAGGGGGCAGGGGAATAATCTGTGGGGAATCCCGCTGACAGCTGAAGAGTCATCGGTTGTTAAAGTGTGACTAAACCCACAACATTAAAAAACAGACTGTATGTGCAATTAATCCTCTGTATTGTGTAAAAGGATGTTTGATCCTGTCTTCTTTGATCCTTTCGTTATTCTACTTTCCCCAATCCATTTCCTGATAGAACAGAGCCTTGGGTTCAAGCTGCACATGCTCAATTTGGTGTATATTTTTTTTTCTTGGGAGAGTGCATGTGATCAGCACAGGGCCAATCTGCACTGTCCAGACAGAGGGTCAGGGGTCCTGCAGCCTCATAAGACAATCAGGGGAAAAAGAAAACTCCTCCTTTAATCAGTGCTTTGCTAGACACTGATAGAAGTCCCAAGACTGCTCTAACTGCTAATGATAAAAAGTATTTAACAGTTTATTTTAACTAAAATAAATGCATTTTCATGTTCTGTGTACTGTGGGAGACCAGATATTGCGAATGTAGGGTCATGGGTTTAGTAACACTTTAAGGACACGGGTGGCCACGATCTGACACCAGCTGTGTCCACCAGACACAGATGATGACAGATCACTGTACTAGCCTGCTGCCGGTACCATGTGATCACTGTGACCAATTGTAGCAGATCACATGACAATTGTAAACAATGCATGGCTTTGATCCATGAAATTCATTGCGTACAATTGTGTTGCTAGCTGTGATTGGTCACAGTGATCACATGGTACAGACAGGGCCAATCACAACCCATCTGTACCATGTGGTTAGCTGTGGCCAATCCACAGATAATAACAACAGTACATACTGAAGGAATCTATTTCATTCAGTAAATGTGCTTGCTTATAGCAGTGAAAATCACTGCTATAAGCAATCATAATGTGAAAAAAAAATTCTGATCACTTCCCCAGAGCATTATATTGCTCTGGTGACAGTGTGTTATATAAAAGAAAAGAATGTAATAACAAAAATGTGGAAAAAAAACAATTTTTTTCTTTTCGTACTGTCAACAGTCAGTGTCCCTGATAACACCAGTCATATGATGAAAATATACTGCACTGGTGACAGTATGTTAAAAAAAAATTGTGACTTATACCTTCAAAAAACTCACCATGCCTCTTACTAAATACCTTGGACTGTCCACTTTTCAAAAAGGGGTCATTTCGAGGATATTTTCCCTGTCCTGACATTTTTGGGCCTCTAAATGAGATTGGCGGTCAGACCATCAGGATTGATCGATTTTCAGATATATCCCATAGTTTGTGGACTCTATAACTTTGCTACAGACTAAATATACACTGATTTGTGTTATTTTCACCAAAGAAATGTAGTAGAATACATTTTGGCCTAAATTTATGAATAAATATTTATTTGCAAAATTGTATAACAGAAACGAAAAACATTTTTTTCTTCAAATGTTTAGGGTTTTTTTGTTTATTTTGCAAAAAATAAAAACCCAGTGGTGATTAAATACCACCAAAAGACCGCTCTCTTTGTGTGAGAAAAATTCTAAAAGTTACATATGTGTACAGTGTTGCATGACCGTGCATTTGTCATTCAAAGTGCAACAGCACTGAATGCTAAAAATTGGCCTGGGCAGGAAGGGGGTGAAAGTGCCTGGTTTTGAAGTGGTTAAACATAGTATAGGTTTTTTGCACTTTCCTTTCTAAATCCAGGGGTTTCTTCTAGCACTTTATGAAGTTTAAGAAAGACTAACTAGTCTTTTTTTTTTTACTGTAGGTTTTCACCTGAAACAGCTTCCAGAAGAGGACTCAGCACTGCAGAAATGAATGCTGTAGAAGCTATTCACCGTGCTGTAGAGTTTAATCCTCATGTACCAAAGGTAAAGAAAGAAAAGTTAACATGATTTCAGATAGTAATTTTTTATCTGATATGTTGTTCTAATCTTTTTGAGGATCTATGTTGAGGAGATGTTAATCTCTTAGATTGTTACCTCCAAGGAGCAGGGCCCTCCTAACCCTCTTGTATTGATCTGTATCATTGCTGTATTGTCTCCCTTTATATTGTAAAGCGCTGAGCAAACTGTTGGTGCTATATAAATCCTGTATAATAATAATAATGTAATTGAGAGAAAAATAAACTGACTTGCTGATGATGGGTACTCTCCCATACACTCATTTGTTCCACCCCTCTCCTCTACCCCATTCTCTCCCTTTCTGTTTCACTCGCTTGCTCTAGTGAGCTTCTAGTGTCTCCAGGTTGCACTGCTTGCGCAAACTTCTCTCTTTATGTTTTTGTAGAACTTTTTTTGGTGTTCAGATTTCCTGGCAGTGGGCAATCAGTCTGTATAGTTACATAGCTAGTCTGGCTGAAAAGAGACAAAAGTCCAGTCTAGTTCAACCATAAAAAAAGAAAAAAAAAAGTTATAATCCTACACCCACAGTTGATCCAGGGGAAGGCAAAAAAACCCCCCAGCAAAGCACGATGCAATTTGCTCCTGCAAGGGAAAAAATCCTTCCTGATCCCCGAGAGACAATTGGATATTCCCTGGATCAACTTACCTATAAATTATTATTATTATGCATGATTTATATAGTGCTAACAGTTTGCGCAGCGCTTTACAAAATGGAGATAGACCTTACAGTTACAATACAATTTGGTACAAGAGGAAACAGAGGGCCCTGCTCGTTAGAGCTTACAATCTAGGAGGAAGGGTTGAGTGATACAAAAGGTAATAGCTGTGGGGGATGTGCTGATGGAGGAAATAAAAGGCAGTTTACTAGTTAGAAGCATGATAGGCTTCATTAAAGAGAGAAGTTTTCAGGGATCGTCTAAAGGTGGATAGATTAGGTTATAGCCGGGCAGATTGGGGTAGGGAGTTCCATAGGATGGGAGAAGTCCTGGAGGTGAGCATGGGAGGAGGTGACACGGGAACTAGAGAGTAGGAGGTCTTGGGAGGATCGAAGAGAGCGGTTTAGTTGATATTTTGACACCAGGTTGACTATGTAGCTGGGGGCAGAGTTGCGGATGGCTTTGTGAGTTGTTGTTAGTATTTTGAATTTTATTCATTGGGCGAGTGGAAGCCAGTGGAGGGATTGGCAGAGAGGGGTAGCAGACACAGAACAGTTGGTAAGGTTGATGAGCCTGGCAGCAGCATTTGTGATGGACTGGAGGGGGGATAGCCTATGTAAAGGTAAGCCAATGAAGAGGGAGTTGCAGTAGTCAAGGCAAGAGATAACCAGGGAGTGAATAAGGAGCTTTGTGGTATCGTTGGTTATAAAGGGGCATATTCTGGAGATGTTGCAGAGGTTGAGGCGGCATGATTTGGACAGAGATTGGATGTGGGCCTGAAAGGATAGTTCAGAATCCAGGGTTATCCCTAGCATCCTGGCATGCGGGGATAGGTTGATTCTGACTGAGAAATCAGAGGAAGAGGCACGTGGGGTAGGAAATATTATGAGCCAGTTTTGGTTAGATTGAGTTTTAGGAAGTGGTGTGATAACCAGTCTGATATGTCTGTTAGTAAATCGGTGATATGTGAGGAAACTGATGGGGTGAGCTGAGGAGTAGAGAGATAGATTTGTGTGTCATCAGCATAGAAATGGTACTGAAAACCATGGGAAGCTATCAGCTGACCCAAGGAAGAAGTGTAGATTGAGAATAGGAGAGGTCCAAGGACAGAACCTTGGGGGGAACCCTGACAGTAAGAAGAGTAGGAGAGGAGGAAGTGGAGTTGTAAGTGACACTGAAGGTGCAGTGAGAGTCAAACCAATGGAGAGTACAGTCACAGAGAGCAAGTAAATGTTTTTTTTTTTTTTTTTTTTTTTTTTTTTGATGAGGGGTGGTTAGCTGTGTCAAAGGCAGCGGAGAGGTCCAAGAGTAAGAGTACAAAATAGTGACCATTGGTTTTAGAGGTTAGTAAGTTGTTTGTGAGCTTTAGAAGAGCAGTTTCTGTGGCTTGTGGGCGAAATCCAGGCTGAAGGGGATTGAGAAGGTTATTCTCAATGAGGTGGCGGCTCAGCCAGTTGTAGACTAGACATTCAAGGAGTTTGGAGGCTAAAGGGAGTAAGGGAGAGGTTGCTAAGATTGGTGGTGTTCAGTGAGGCCTTTGTAAGTATGGGGGTGACTAGCGCATGTTTTAGAGAGTTGGGGAAGATGCCAGTAGAAAGGGAGAGATTGAAGATATGAGTTAGAGTGAAGGTTAGAGCTAGGTGGGTTTTAGAAAAACGTCCAACCTCCTCTATAGTAGCTGAGTTAAACAAGGGAAGTATAGATTGTGCAGGTGGACAAAGAGTGTAGGGTGAGGGAGATATCTGTACAGTGGAGATCTCTTCACGAATTGCATCAATCTTATTTTTTTAAGTGATTAGCGATCTCCTGGACAGTGAGTGAGTCAGTGGGTGGAGGTAAAGAAGGACAAAGTAGAGAGTTAAAGGTAGAAAAGAGTTGACAGGGATTACGTGAGAGGGTGTTAGAGTGCTAAAATAGGTCTGTTTGGCAGTGTGGAGACAGGAATTGTATTTTTGATGGGCAGATTTATATTGGTCGAAGTCTTGCTGGGTCTTACACCATAAACGCTCAAGAGCACGGCTACGTTTTTTTGAGGCATCTGGTATTGTCTCTTTGCCAGGGCTGTAGCGGTCAGGGCCTAATTCTGTGTGTAGTGAGGGGGGCCAATGTGTTCACGGTGGATAACCGTGAACTGTTGTAGACGGAAGTGGCCAAGTTGGGGCAGGACATGGCTGAGATTTTGTCATAGAGACAATCTGTTGCAGAAAAAAGAAGAGAAGTGTTAAGATAGCAAAGGTTTCTACAGGTAACTTTTCGGTAGTTGGAAGACAATGAGGAGGAAGCCAAGGAGAGAGTGAAGCTAATAAGGGAGTGATCAAAGAGAGGAAAAGGAAAGTTGATGAGGTTGCAAGGAGTGCATAGGTAGGAGAATACAAGGTTGAGACAGTTACCATTAGAGTGAGTAGAAGCATATGTTCATTGTTTTAGGTCAAAAGAAGTGGTTAGGCTCAGAAATTTAGAGGTAGCAGGAGTGTTAAGATTAACAGGGATGTTGAAGTCACCGAGAATGATTGTGGGAATTTCAGAAGAGAGAAAGTAAGGCAGCCAGGCAGAGAAGTCATCAAGGAAGCTTGTTTTACCGGTCCAGGAGGCCGATAGATCACAGCAATTCTTAAAGAAACTAGAAAGAACAGACGAATAAAGTGAACTTCAAATGAGGAGAGGGACAGAGAGGGAGGTGAAGGACCTGAAAAGTGCTTTGAGGGGATAGGAGGATTCCAACTCCACCTCCTTTTCGACAACTAGGCCTGGGAGAGCGAGTCCAGAGGAGACCACCATGGGAGAGGGCAGCAGGAGAGGGAAAGTCAGATTCATGAAGCCAGGTTTCTGTAATTCCAAGCAGGTTAAAGGAGTTTGTGAAAAAAAAAGGTCACGGACAGAGGTGAGTTTGTTACAGATAGAGCGGGCATTCCAAAGGGCACAGGAAAAGGGGAGGCTGGTTCTAGAAAAAGAGGAATAGTAACCAGATTGTTTGCATTGCGGCTGCTGTTAGAGGATAGTGGGTGTCGGGAGTGTTAGTCAAAGGAAAAAGATGGTGGCCCAGGATTTGGGGAAATGTCTCCAGATGTTAGGAGAAGCAGAAGGGAGAGAGAGGTAATATGGGAGTAAGACTTGTATGGAGGGGCAGGTCCCAGTGTCCTGGAGGTTTTATAAATATGTTGGTTCAGAATTAGCTGGAGTTGATGAGTACAGTAATAAGGTGAAGACAGGAGTGAGGGTGATTATATATAAGCTGTGGGGTGGAGAAGAGAGGTGAAGGAGAAAGAGTTTGAAGAGAGAGGATACAACTGTGAGAAGGAGTAGCAAGTGCATGTTTCAGAGTGGTGAGATGAAGACGCAAACTGGGTAAGAGCTGGATGGGGAAATAGGTCACCTGTAGTCTGTTTAGTATTTGATGTTGTCTGCTTCTCACTTTGTGCATTCACTGAAATGCAGAGCCAAAGTGCAATGCTCAATACCTAATCCAAGATCAATACTTTATCGAAGATGATAGTTGCCAATGCTACTCCTGGCTGTGCCTCCCCAAAGGAAGGCCTACATTTATACTGAGTTAAGTGGGGGTATTGCCAATTAATCAATTAGGAATGCACAAGGCTAGCAGGGCAAACTTCTCACACCAAAGGAGGACTACAAGAGACAACAAGAGAGCAGGAGGGTAGAGTTGTAAAGATTAGGATCAGCTCATAAGTTTGGGTTATACAATAAGAGCAAAATAAACAAACAGTAATATGGACAGAGTTAAAGGTTTTGGAAGCAGTAAGAATTTCCAGTAAGAACACTGTTAGTTATGAATCCGCTTCAGTTAGAGGTGGATTTTGAAAGCAGTATAGATTACCATATAGCAGAGCAGGGTGAATTAGCATTCATAGATGGCATGGGCAATAGTACAGATGGATATTGCTCGCAGACATTTACCATATAGCAGAGCAGGGTGAAATGTTAGTATCCAGTTACAGTGGGGATCGAAAGTTTGGGCACCCCAGCTAAAAACTTGTATTAATCTGCATAAAGAAGCCAAGGAAAGATGGAAAAATCTTCAAAAGGCATCAAATTACAGATTAGACATTATTATAATATGTCAACAAAAGTTAGATTTTATTTCCATCATTTACACTTTCAAAATAACAGAAAACAAAAAAATGGCGTCTGCAAAAGTTTGGGCACCCTGCAGAATTTATAGCATGCACTGCCCCCTTTGCAAAGCTGAGACCTGCCAGTGTCATGGATTGTTCTCAATCATCGTCTGGGAAGACCAGGTTATGTCAATCTCAAAGGTTTTAAATGCCCAGACTCATCTGACCTTGCCCCAACAATCAGCACCATGGGTT